ACTGAAGAAAATATACACAAAACTGCCTTTAGATGCCCTGAGTCTCTAGGATGTTTTGAATGGGTAGTTATGCCTTTCGGCCTGAAAAATGCAGGAGCAACTTATCAAATGGCGATGAACTTGATTTTTCATGATATGATATGCAAGTTTGTTGAAGTGTATGTAGATGATATAGTAGTCAAATCCATTAAAGAAGATGACCATTTTGAACAATTGAGATGTTCATTTGAGCGAATGAAGCAATATAAACTAAAATTGAATCCCTTGAAATGTGCATTTGGTGTTAATGCAGGAAACTTCCTTGATTTCTTAGTACACAAAAGGGGGATTGAACTTGATAAAAATAAAGCGAATGCCATTTTAGAGGTCAAATCACCTAGCAATAAAAAAAGAATTGCAAAGGTTTTTAGGCCAAGTAAACTTTTTAAGACGCTTTATTTCTAACTGTGCAGGGCGAACTAAAGCTTTTTCGTCGCTTTTAAAGTTGAAAAATCAGGACGAATTCGTCTGGAAAGAAGAGCATCAAAAGGCTTTTGAAAGCCTAAAGACATATTTATCAAGTCTACCAGTGTTGTGTCACCACTCCAAGGACGGCCAATGAAAGTGAATGTATCGGCTAAACAAGAATCAATAGCTGGAATGGTCACGCAAGAAGACCAATTTGGTGAAGAAATGGCGATTTACTACTTGAGTAGACGGTTAACAAAATGTGAATGTAATTACTCTGTCATTGAAAAATTATGTCTTGCATTGTATTTCACGTGTACGAAATTGAGGACTTATTTACGGCCCGTAACCGTTTATATGATTTTTAGAGTAAATTTGGTTAAGTATATGTTCTCTTACCCTATTTTACATCAAAAGGTAGGCCTTTGGACGTTAGCATTATCAGAATTCGAAATACAATATATACCCCAAAGGCAATAAAAAATCAGGCTTTGGCTAACTTTCTGGCCGATCATCTATGCCTTAACATGCCTGAAGAAATTGAATTAGAAATCAATTCATTCGAATTAAAACCTTGGGTTTTGTATTTCGATAGGTCAAAAACCTCTAAAGGTGCAGGAGTAGGAGTAGTATTGATAAATCCTTTAGGAATTTGTTACAAGTTCGCATTCACTTTGGATAGGATGTGCACCAACAATCAAGCCGAATATGAAGCCTTAATCATGGGCCTAGAATTAATGATAGATATGAAAGTAAAGAATATGATCGTTAGAGGCGACTCTCAATTGATAATTCACCAATTGATTGGTGATTTTAAGTGTCAAAGTGATTCTATTATAAGTCAATATGAAATCGCCTAAGAGTTGTTGGAAGAATTCGACCAAGTAGAGCTTCAATGTGTTAATAGGATATATAATGACGTAGCAAATGAGTTAGCCCAGATGGCCTCAGGGTATTCAAAGGTTTTAAATTGGAAATCTACTTACGAATATGGAGTAATATTGCCTGTGTCCAAAGAAGGGCGAGAATGATTGAAATTCATTGCATACAAGATGGAGATGCAATAGATTGGAGGGCAGAGATTAAAAGATTCCTTAAAGAACCTAATAAAGGAGATAGTAGAAAAATAAAGTTGCGTTTGTTAAACTATACACTAATAGATTAAGAGTTGTTTAAGAAATGCTCTGATGGTATATTGCTAAAATGTGTAAGTTTGCAAGAAGCCAGGACAATCATGGCTGAAGTGCACGAAGGGATATGTGGAGCTCATCAAGCTGGCCAAAAGATGAGATGGTTAATTATTAGGAATGGATATTTTTGGCCCAAGATGGAAGAATCATGTGTTCAATATGCAAAGAGTTGTCTAGCATGCCAAAAGCATGATCCAATACAAAGGGCGCCAATAAGAGAGATGACACCTATTATCAAACCTTGACCGCTCAAGGGTTGGGCGATAGACCTAATAGGGAAGATTTATCCCCCATCGTCCAAGCAACATACCTTTGTTATAGTTGCAACTGATTTTTTCACTAAATGGGTAGAAGTAATACCTTTAAAAAAAATCACCCAAAAGAGTGTCATAAAATTTATCCGTAATCATATTATTTATAGATTTGGGATTCCACAAACTTTGATGGTAGATCACGGAACTTCTTTAAATGGAGATCAAGTGAATAAATTCTTGAGCGAGTTTGGAGTTAAAGTAGTGGACTCCACACCGTATTACGCTCAATCCAACGGGCAAGCAGAATCTTCTAATAAGATTCTAAAAAATATCATAAAGAAAATGATAGATGAAAATGCCAGAAATTGGCAAGAATGTCTAAACAAGGCCTTATGGGCTTATAGGACGTCGCTTCGGTCAAGTACCAAAATTACTTCTTTCCAACTTACTTATGGACGGGAGGCCGTTTTGTCTATGGAAATCAACGTGCAATCGATTAGAGTGTGTTTGCAACATAAGTTAAGTGATGATGATTATATCGAATCGCTAGTTCAAAACTTATTGGAGTTGGATGAATTAAAGTTGGATGTCCTAGATAGATTGCAAGTTCAAAAACAAAGGATGGCTAAGTTTTATAATAAAAAAGTTATAGCCAGGTCATTTAGCATGGGTGAATTGGTTTAGAAAACAATACTCTTTTTGGATAGCAAGGATTCAAAATATGGCAAATGGTCGTCCAATTGGGAAGGACCATATAAAGTAAATAGTGTGTTGCCTAATGAAGCCTATCATTTGGAAGATTTAGATGACACCAAGCACATGAGATTCATTAATGGCAAATATTTAAAAAAATATGTTCATTCCGTATGGAAAAGTGAACAAATAAAAGCGTAATCAAATCGCGTTGAACGATCGTATATAAAAAGGGCCAGAACGAAATACGTGCAAAATAAATTCCTTTATTATCAAATATACATTACAAATTGTGAGATACAAAATATTAAATGCTTTATAAGCTACAATTGAGAGCAAACTAATTCCTTGGTCGATCGTCAAGCAAGAGGGTGAACTAGCCTTGATTGCCATCCTGATCGCACTGCTGCAAAGGCAGGCAGAGAGGCTGAGAAGCACTCTCAGCAAGCAAAAAGGAAGAAAAGCACCCTCAAATCACCTGCCTAATCGCATTGCTGCAATAATGGGCAAGGAGACTGAGAAGCACTCTCAACAAGTAAAGTGGTTTAAAAAGCATCCTAAAAAATTGTCTCCCATCATTGAGACGATGGAAAGAACTTTGCTAGCCAAAAAATATTTTTTATATCTCCCATACCAAAAGTGACATCAAAACAGGTAGCAAAATGGGAGGATCAAATGATCCATTTCTATGGAAGACGAAAATTTTGGATCGATTGTTGAAATGCCAAACGATGGCAGCAAATTAGTTTTTGAAGAAAAGAATGGAAATGAAAATGAAAAGTTCGAAATATACGTGCATTTATAGGGGCGTGAAGTTGAAGAGACAGAATATGAACGGCTACATTCGTGCCTAGTAATTGGAGTCAAGCGGCCCAAAGTCTTGGGAAAAGAGACAGAAATACCAAGAGAGAATGTACACGAATCTTAGCATAAAGCAGTTAAATGCTTGGAGGGTTGACGATTAAGGACAACGTCAATTAGCACGTAAGTAGTCAAAATAGTCGTTCTTTCAAATTTAGCAATGGTAGTTAGTACGAAGTTACGAAGGAAAATTTAAGGCATTAGATGTCTTAATTACAATTCACCCCAGGCCGATCGAATTCTTTACTTAAGTCTCCCCCAATCCTAGCTCTGCTGAGAAGAAGAGACATTTAATTCAGCTACAAAATCGTCATCAACCTTCAACTTTTTGTACTGCTCGACCAAAGACTTGGTTCGCTCAATTCCTTGGGAAGCATTATGCTTTTTAGCATCCATTCTCGCCTTATAGTCATCCATCCTTGCCTGAAGCTCATTCATCTCTGCAGCCAAACTGGTCATCAAGGAGTCTTCAACCATGACTTCGGAAGAGATTTCTTTCAATTCGTCCTCGATTTTGTTAATCTCTAAAAGCAAAGACTCTCTTTCAGATGCAGCGTGAAGATATTGAGTACTCCTGGCCTTCAGTTTAACATTTTTGACCAGCAAGGAGAGGATGTTAGAGTGGACATCGGTCAAGCTTTTATAGACATAAGGATGTCCACTCTAACATGTCTATAGACATCGATCAGTCGATATTTGAGTATGTGTCTTTTATAGACATGGACATCGGTAAACCTTATCCTTATGTTTAGCAGCACTAGCCTGACCGATGTCAATGTCTATAAAAGACACATATTCAAATATCGACTGCTTGAGAAACTTCATATCTTCCTCTGAAGAAGTAAAAGGACGATCGGTTGAAGTAGGGCGAGACATCTTGACTTGCCCCCAGGAAGTGAACAAATCCTGGATGGAACGCACAATGTCATCAGCATCCTGCAAAGAAAAATGCCAACACTGAGGGCTTTCACTACAATAAATGAAGCGAAAATGAAGTGAAGCGAAAGGTTATCTCATCAGCAATCTTGGGAAGTGGCATATCATCAGTTGGCTCCACCACCTGTGGAAACTTCCCCTTATCTGGGCGAGAAGACTCTGCCACAACGGGCAGACCCATGGGAGCCTCTACAGAATTCAAGAAGCAAGAAATCAGAAACCAATAGCACAAGCAAAGGTAAAACAACAAAAAATGTATTACCTTTTGGTTCGATGTTTGAGGGCATCGGCGCCCTGGGAAGAAGGTGGCTCTTCCATTGGTTGTGATGAAGGTTCCGGGACTGAAGGTTTCTCTTTAAGTATAGTCCCTTCATCAGTTGATTTGGACGAAGCAGCTTCAGCACAAGATGATGGAGTAGGAGCTGCAATACCAAAGCCTTCAAAGGAGGGGCTGAAGTTTTCTGAGAAATTCAAGTAAACCATTAGCATATAGAAAGGTTTCAAGTAAACCATTAGCACATAGAAAGGTATGTTTGTGAATAAACAGAATTCAATTACCTTTCTCCTAACGATGAGAGCAGCGTCGTCATCATTATCATCATCATCATCATCATCCAAAATGGGAGATGCTGAAACTGGTCGTTTACGGCTTAAGGCACTCTTAGCTGCAGTAGCCTTGACAGGTAGGGAAGTAAATGGACGAATAGATTGTGTTAGCATGAGCAGGGGAGGAAGGATTCCTAATGGACACAGGGGTGGCCAAAATAGGAGAAGTGGAAGAAGTGTTTGGCTGATCCAGTGAATGAAAAGCACGATTGGCATCAGTCGCAAACAATCTGCGCTTCATTGATGGCCAGAATTGTTCAAAAAGGGGATGGATGGCACGGCTAGAATTGAAGGGGGCTAATGAAAATTTACCCGTCAACATAATGTTGCGAGCATCTATAATTTGTGCCTCTGCCTTATTAATGGTGTAAAAGCGGTCTGTCAAATTTTTTGAATAGCAAGGAGAAACAAGCCAAGTTTGGCCAAAACCAAGTTGGCGAACAAAAAATTGGGGAGCATATATTTCAACCCCAGCTTTGGCATTGGTTCCAGCTAAAATATCATGGAACAATTCCCTCCCAGTCAAAAACTGAACCTAACGAGCAGAGAGGGGCTCGCACTGTCCAGGGTGGACGGAGGTTGCACATAATCTGGAGTCAAATGAGCAGGAAAAGGAAAAAAAGGAAGGAATTGAATTTAAGGTATAAAAGAATGAAAAAATATTCCTACTGGACATATTTACAGGGCTCAATGGGTCAATGACTAGCCCATAACAGCTAGCAGAACGAAGAGAAATGGATGGAGTACCAAGTGATGAGAAATATGCTCTCAACCACAGTTGAGTGAACCAAAGAGGCTCACTACCAGTGGGAGATGCACCATTCTTCAATTGAAATTGAAGAGAAGCCATGCCTCTATAAAGGGCAGCCAAAAAGAAGGAACACAAATTCAAAGGTCTAGCACGCGTCAATTCATGCGCTATGGGTAAGTAACTCATGGAAGGCTTCATACTTGGCACACAAAGAATATATTTACAAAGCCAAATCTGAAGGAAGGCCACACGCTCAGCATGGGAAGGTTCAACATTCGAGTGATTATAAGAGCTTTGCAGGCTTGAGTAGGACTCAGTAAGTTTCTTGTCAAATTTCGGGGCGACACCGGAAATCAAAATACCAGGGAAAATGGTATCGCCCAAAGGTGGAAGATTTACTAGGGCCCCAACATCTCTTAAAGTAATAGACATGGGACCAAGAGGGAAAACAAATGTATTATATTCAGAAGACCAAAAACTTAAAATAATAGGAAAAAACACTGGGTCAAAAATTGGGGGTTGAAGAGCGATTTCTAATAAATCAGAAATCCTAGCACGATCAAAAATTGCCTTAGTAGGACCATGACCCACAAGGCGAGCATGCCATCTATGGAAAATAACATAGATTTAGGCCAAGTGCGAATACCTTTTCTGCGAATCGGCCTCAGCGGCAAAGAGTTCAGGAACGGAGGGCTTTGAGTGTAAGGGAACAGCTGGTCCACCGCCACTTGTTTGACGGCTTCAGCGTTGTTGAATGATGGACCCAGATAGAACTCATTGAGTTCGGCATTGGCTGGTGCAAGGAAGTTCGAATTTACATATGACCGAGTAAGGATTTTTTGGAAATATTCGAAGCTAAAAGAGTCATCAGATTGGGTTTCTGGAGCCGCCATTGGGAATGAAATACAGTTTTGTTAAAGTTTGCTTGAGAAACGTAGCAGAGAAGCAAGAAGATGAACAGTAATATTGCGAGAAAGAAGCGCGAAATAATGAGGCGTGATTTAATGGTGCGATGAAATGACGTGTCTTTGGGGTTTATAAGGGTTTGCAACGTCGCACCTTTTCAGGCTATGGAAGGAAATAATGATTGAAATTCTTGGGAATTTCAAATGTTGCTGAAAAACACAAAATAAATATAGCAAAGATTAATAATTAGTATTAATTCTGCCATATTGGGGGATAATTGTTGACACACTAAAAGTACAGCCAAAATCGAATAGTCCAAGGAATGAAACCCAATTGGGTAATTTAGGATAAAAGCCCAGACATGGTTATTAATGAATGCAGTAGAAGTCCACGAACACAGTAACATCATCGTTCAAGCTTGCAAGACGCCCAAGATCTGAGTGAATGGAGTGCCTTACAGTCGCCTAAAGCGATGACCCTATTCTCGCCCATACCTTCGAACGCCCAGGATCTTAGCAAACATAAAATGTTATGGTTATCCAGAAATGCAGTTATTGAGTAACCTTATCACATTCCACGATTCAAGAAACTCAATTGAAGGCGGTTGAACGACAAAGAGTAGTGGCAGCAGTTAGAGACGGCAGTTCCATGACAAGTTAGCCACCATAAAGAAAGTGGGTAGTTATAAAGCAATCAAGCAGTTTCCAAGCGGTTTGTCACGAAAAAAAATCAAGGGAATATAAAAGGAAGAGAAGATATAGAGAGAAAAAAACCCGAATCAAACACTCTCAAACAGAGAATATGTAATTTCAATTTCTTAGTTTAAACTTAAACATTTCTTTCAGTACTCGTGTGCTTGCGCCTCTTGGAGGCATTCTGTTTAGTTTCAATTGTAAATCATCGTCAATAAAACATCCATTTTTGAGACTTTGTCTCAAGAGATTTGTTCCTTACACAATCGTTTGATCCCTTTTTAATTGTTAGCGACTACCCGCGCGAAACAGTTTTACATGAAAATTATCACTTAAAGGGATAAATTTTACTGGTATTGGGAATGAAATTTGTTTCCATTCCCAACACACAAAAAAAAACACAAAAATTTCAAGAAAATCATCTATCTTTTGGTATTCGTTTGATTTTGTTTTACATGGAAATTGCCATTTAAAGGGAAATATTTTTTTACAATAATTTTTAGAATTTGTTTCCATTGCTAACAAAAAAAAAAAAAAAAAAGAAACGAAAAAAGATGCTACAGTAGGTCGGAAAACCCAGAAAAGTTCAAACTTCAAGAAAACAAATAATTCAAATTCAATGGAAAAAAATATACAAAACACCTAAAGTTAGAAAATCCAATTCCAATTTCACCCTATGAAACACTCCCTTCGTTCAATCGTACCAATTATAAGTGTTATAGTTCAAAATTAAATGTCAAGAGAAAAAAGGCCTAAAGACTAAAATCACATGATACCGAGGTGGATCTAGCAAAAATTTGAAGACAGGCTAGTACACCAATAATAATAAATAAATAAATTACAAATATATATATTTTTTTACTTAAATATATATATTTTTTAAAAGGTGAATTGGGTTGGGGACGGATTGTAGCTGGTAGACGAGCCTATAGGGGGCAGCACATCAATGCCTTGGACGGACAAGGCCGAAGTGGCCCTGTTCGAACAACTTTTTCCTTGTAGTACAACCCAATTCCCCTAATTCCGCCAATGCAAGACACAAAGCAATTAAAGATACATTTGAGTCTAACCAGGCTTGGACCTCGACCATGGTCTCACTTTAAAAGGCATGGGAGCTGGTCAAGCATTGCTCGATCATAATCGTACCTGTTGTAAAGTCGTGGGCTTAATTCTTGCTGTTACGAGGAGTCAATAAGCTAATAGACCTTCGCAGTAAGGTTGTTGTGCTGGTTGGAAGGTGGCAGGAAACCGCATGTGAGAGCGCAGCTCTTGACCAAAATTTCATTAAATATTGAGTTGTCATTAGAGTTTAATTATTAATCATCATCAAAAGAGAGATAGAGGTCAGAGAAAACATGATGTGCTAAACTTCTTTTTATCATAATGAATTACTGTATCGATTAAAGATGATGCATTCTCACATTGAAATGAACTTCTATAAATTCTGTGTGTTCTTATATTTCTACAATATTATTATTCTTTTTAGTATAGAATTAGAGTTTCTAATTCTCAAAACCTCTAAGGTACGACCAACACCTAGTGAGGAGCAGGTCAAGCACTGCTCAACTAGAGGTTGTGCCCATAAGATGGTTGAGCCATACTTGAACCGAGAAGGAATGTTTCCCTCTTGAGGGAACTCTACTAGATTCCTTCTATCAATAAAAATCCCAAATTCTTGTGATTACTCATGACATAAGGTTCAACGGCATCCTTTACAAGCCTTCAAAGGTTGAATTCTAATGTCAAAATCATTTTAGTAGTCTGACTTCAAACGCTTACTATGTAAAGTGACAATGTTTCCATTGAACTCTAACGGTAAAGTTCGGGAGGTGATTGCCACATCTCTCCCAATGAGCTATACATGTCATAATTAATCGTTCAAATAACTCTATAGAAAAGAGTCTCAGTATTTCAAATATAGATGACTTGAAGTGTGACGCCTACAAATTATCTAATGTATTAATTTTAAAGTTATTAGGATAATAATAAGATATAAGTGATAGTAACTGAACATATTTTTGCAAATCTATAGTTATTATTACTATATTGATTGACGTTGGATCCGCACGCACATCTCAATAACAATTGTCGAGTGATTGCCAAGAATATTTGGTAAATAGTGATGTCTCACCTAAAGCAATTAATTATTGGAAATAAACAATGTTTGATTGCACGTGACTAGTGCACTAAAAACATTAACAAGTATTGAGGTGCGCTATGATGAGGGCAAAATCCTGGTACAGACGAAACGGAGCATATCCCAATTTGCACAAAAACAGAAATTAATAATAAAAAACAAAAAATAAAATTTAAAGAATGAACTGGCCAATATTTAAAGTGATTATAAACCGTGAGTTCCAACAATTTATAGTTTTAAAAATAGGTAAAAGGTTACGAATTGCATGGAATGTGAATAAAAATAGAGTTTGACAACTTATAAATAGTTATAAGCTTTATCAAACCTACACGAAATTGAGCCTCTCTTAATTATTGAAATGGCATTGATTCAACTTCCCACGAACGTTGGTTGGCATGACACTTTTATTTTATTTTAATTTTTAATTAGGCTAACTAATTCCATGAAATCATTTAGTATGTTGTTGGCATTGAATATTGGTTGAGACAACGTGTCATCATAGATCTCGTATTTCGCTCATCTCAAGCGTATGTTACCTACGTACTTAGAATGCACGCATTAGACACACAAGATTGAAGCCTTTCCAAACATAAAGGGAAGGGAGAGATGGTGATCATACGTTCTCCTATACTCAAGTCAGTTACAAAATGGGAAATAAAGTGTATTAAGTGCAAGAGTAACAGATAGATAAGAGAATATAATTTAGAGTCGAGTTTGTACTTTGAGAGAATTTGTGAATACCAAAAGTTTATTACTCTTAGATAATATCAAATGTGAGAATCTATAGGTGTAAGAAAGGAATAGAGACTACCTGGATGATTAACACATAACTTCATCCCACTGGCTCATCGATCAAGTTCCATCACATCCCAATATTGCATTATAGATATCAATAGGTATACAATCCTGCACACTATCATAGGCAGGTAAAAGAATATCTACACTCAACCGTCATCGGAAGTAATGTCACATCAACTATTGGGGAATATTTATATTGCAAGAGGGTTGGAGAAGAAACAAAAAATCAAAAATAGAAGAAAAATTGAAAAACAACAACAAAGAAATCACCGGAATGTAAGGTGAATGCCCAAACACGTAATCGTTCTAAAATGATATTTGCTCCCTCTAGAATAGAATTTGGTGCTTAAATGGACTCTTGACAAAATGGTTTGTAAGATTAATCAAGTTTTGAAATAGAAAATCACTTAAGCACTTAGTAATTTCTACAAAAGCTTCAAGAACACAAAAAGGGAACTTTGAATGCGGAGAAAGAATATGAATTCTTTCTTTTGGAATGAGTATTTGATCACAAGTTGTTTTATTCTTATGTTTTGATGTGATAATCTATAGGTATACATATAGACTTGATTCTAAACCCACGAAATGGTATAAAAAACCCATGAAAAACTGTAAACTTTTCATTGTCAACCACCAAGAATTCAAATTTTTTTGTTCTATGTGGTCGCATTGATCAACACATTGCAGGGCATGAAAGCCCAGCATATCCATATGTGACCGCAGGCTACATAAGCCTATACGGTCGCATAGGCCACGTTTTTGGCCTCCAAACACTGTTTCGTTCCAAAGTCTCATTTTATTGATTTTTTGAACAACGTCAACCACTTTTCACATGACTCCAAAAGACAGAACTATCGTTTATATGAGTGTTGAGAGGGTCAGCATCAACTATGGTCATGGGAGAACCCATGTTATGTAGCTATGCATTACGAATCCCGAAATCGCCTTGGAAAAGGAACGTAATGATCCTGTGCCAAGTTACATGAACTCGAAGGCTATGTCAATGAGGTGTAGGGATGCTCAGCATCACCTTAGAAGATAGGCTATTGTTTTATAGAGCACTTAGGTGTCATCCTTGCTTAATTATTATCACATGACTTGTCATATAAGTAGGGAAATAATAGCAATTAAATTTTTTAACCCAAATGATGACATATCTCAAAATTTAAATAATAAAAATGTCGAATTTCAGCTACCCTTTTCTTGATAAATCTAGAGTTTGTTTGGGAGTGATTTTGAGAATTGATTTTTTGACCGTTAGGAGAAAAGTGAGATCCACTTGTGAGAGAATAAGTCAAATATGACGACTGGAATAGTGAAATAACGGTCAAAAAATCAATTTTTTGGGACAAAAAATCGCTCCCAAACAAGCTGCTAATGTTATTACGCGATTTTATCGATACTTGAAAGAGAAGTTTGGCTCCGCAATCCATTTCAACTTTATATGTTACCTCTTCTCAATTATCTCTTGACATAGTTAAATTATTTATTCTTTTACAATGCAGCACTACTTTTTTATATTATTATTATTATTATTTTTTTTTTTGTAGAGATTTGTAGTAAACTAAACAACCGCCTCATGTACAATTCAAAATCAGACACCTATGAGAAAGGTTAATAAATGTGTCCTTAATTTGCCGTTCAAAAATTGAATAAAAAAAATATCTAGCCCATAGATCATCATTCCGACATATATAATTTGAAAAAAGATAATTTTGTTTTGAAATTGTTATTTCTTTGGTCGTCTTTGTAATAAAATTTTGACACTTTGACCATTAATCCTTTTTAAACAAATAAAAATATGATAGCACCTTTTTTTTAAACACCCAAACACTACATCTTATTAAAACAGGGGCAGACCCACATGGGTCATGTGGGGGTAAAATGATCCCACAGTTTTTTGGAATTATTTTTTTTTTTTTTGTGCTGAAAACTTAATTTTCTGCCCCAAAAAGTCTAAATCCTAAATCTATATCCATATCACATGGTCCATATCCATTATTTAGTCCATAAATATATCATATAATCCACCTATTTCTTTCCAAAGTGCAAACATCGAACATGAACAGTAAACAACTGATTTTTACTTTTTATTCATGATACGTTGTTCGAAAAAAAAAATAATTTTGACCCCACAATTCGAACTGTTTGGGTCCATCCCTGTCTTAACATATTCTCATTTAGTGAAAAATGCGAATTGTTGTGTCAATTAGGAAATCTATGAAGAACTAGAAAGGTCATGGGCGGACTGGGGGGTGGGCCTAGGGCCTAGGGGGTCATGTGACCCCCTAGATTTTGAAAAATAATAATTTACTTTTATCCTTTTTTTTTTTTTTACAAAAAAATTAAAAGGTCAAAGAATAAATCCTACATTTGTAATGCAATTGGCACTGTAACTTTGTCTCTTTCTCTCCCACAATTTGAATAAAGCCCTTGTCATAATTTGCCATTACCATTTACCCACCGGTCACCATGTGAGGATTTGTGGCACAATGATGTGGAAGGTTGACCAGCTGACCATTGACTTTAGCTAGTTTTTACATTAAATGAAAGAAGCCATACTGAAAGAAAACTGAAGCTGTCGAAACACGCTTTTCTCTTATTTAAATGGGCTGCCCTGATTTTTGACAAGTGTCAACTTCTTGGCCATTGGATGGAGACTTTCTAGAGACTTATTATATACGGGTCTTTGGCCCCTGTTTTGGTATATTCTCATTTATTTCTCTTCGTCTCTCGACTACTCTCTCTCGGTTGCAGAAATTCTTTATCTTCTTCTTTAATAATCTAAGTGTCATAGTTTTACCTCACATATTTGTATAGAATTTTTGTAGATGTTGATTCTACTTTCTGAAATCGTGCAGTACTTATCTTGGGTGATTTGTGTACGGGTCGATTTCATATTTTGTTCTTTAGTGAACTAATGTTCTTGAGTGAACTATTGTGGCAAATATTGTGAGTGGCTTGAGGGATGTCGAAATCTTGAGTGATTCTTGGCTAGGGCTCAGATTTGTAACTCTTTGGACGGTTCATGATTTGGTTAATGCAATAAATTCTTTCGGTGGTGGAAGCACAAAAGGGGATTAGGAGTGAAGTTCCGAACCTCTTGCTTTCGGGCGAAAATACCGTATTCTCGTGTTTTCTGCATTTTCTTTCATTTCAAATTTTTACAGTTTATAATACTCGTAATTTTTGTTGATTGAAGTGGGCTGATTTTCTTGAACTTCTCGTAACACACCAATTGACATCTTCATCAGTTGAAGCCCCTGCCACAACAATCTACTACTGTTTTCGCTGTCAAGATGTGCATCTTCAATTCTTCTTCTATGCCGTCTGTGGTCTACATATTTCTAAGTTTCTAACTTCTAGCTCCATCCACTGTCGTCTTCCTGAAGGTGTGTCACATTACAATTTGAGTTTAGTTATTTTCTTTCAGTTTTAATGTCTACAATGTAGTTAATATCTATTTCTGATTTATGTATTACTCATTCCTCTCAAATGCCAATATTATAATTAGTAGAGTTTTCTAATTTATCGTTTTTCGATTTAGGGATTTAGGGATTTTTTATTTTGGGATTTAGAGATTTCTGATTTAGGACTTTCTTATTTATATGTAAATTGATTTAGGAAGTTGAAACTTTTTGATTAATATGTTTGAATTTTTGTAGGCATGACATAGAAAAGGAAACCGATTTAGGGATTTCTAATGTGGTTGATTTTTATTTGTATCAGTTATGAACAAATATTTAAAATGTAAATTTACGCTTTCCTGTGATGAGCAAAATATCAGCGAAAGGAATGTTCGAGAGAAAATGGATGAAAATGATGTTGATGTTCGAGATGTTGGGGATGTTGATGTTGCATAGCTATCCTCAAATCCTAGATTGAAAGTTTCAATACATAATTGTGATACTAATGTTCGAGAAGTGATTCTAAAAGCATATGTGCAAGTGAGTCCTTGTTAACCTCACAATCATGTTTTTTCACCCACAAGAATAGGTAACAAAGACAGGTGATTTTGTCTTTCGTGGTATAATGAGCATCTTACTTGGTTGGAATGCAAAAGATACATTTTTTTTGCTTCTACTCATATCTTTTTCAGTTTGAGTTGTTGTTCATTTGTTAATGACGGATTTTCAAATTGGAAAAGGAAGAGTATATTAGAAAATACATTGGGGTTTCAAGTAGTGCTCACAATCAAGCTCGGGTCATATATGAATTGTTCAAGAATCAAGAACAAAGTATTTGATCCTATCTCGTAATCAATCGCATCAAGCTCAAACAGACTATTGAATTCGATTGAATGCGTCAATTGATTGTGTTTGATTTCTTCTATGACAAGGGATGATATTTTGTGGACATGACGAATCTGAAAATTCAAACAATCAAGGAAACTTTCTTAAACTATTGCATTGGCTATGTGATTATAATGCTGAGAATAAGGTCGTTGCTTTGACGAACGCACCTAAGAATTTCAAATTAACATCACCAAAAGTGCAAAGAGATATTATGAGTGCTATTACTTCTGAATGTCCAAATGTGATTATTAAAGATGTTTGTGATAGTTTCTTCTCAATTTTAGTTGATGAATCTCGAGACATTTCAGTGAAGGAGCAGATGTGAGTTGTCATTCGTTATGTGAAGAATCGGAGCGTATTGGAATATTTTATTGGTGTCATTCATGTTTCAAGCACCATAACTGCCTTACTTAAGACTGCAATTGATCAATTATTCTCAATACAAAACTTAAGCATATCTAATTTGAGAGGTCAGGGATATGATGGAGTTAGTAACATGCGAGGTGAGTATAATGGCCTCAAAGCACTTATTGTGAAAAAAACTCAAGTGCTTAATACATTCATTGCTTTGCTCATCAATTTCAACTAGCTTTTGTAGTTGTGGCACATAAATATTCAAAGATTGAAACTTTCTTCACTATCGTGTACAAATTGGTGAATGTTGTTGTAAAATCGGCTAAGCGAAGTGATCTTATTCGAGATAATCAAAGATTGAAAACTCTTGAATCACTCAGTGTTGGTGAAATATCAAGTGAACGAGGTCTCAATCAAGAAATTACTCTTCAACATCTTGGTGATACACGTTGGGGCTCTCACTTTAGTTGTTTAATTAACTTGATTATCATGTTATCAACCATAGTCAATGCTAGTAAGATGATTGCTACTGACACTACAATACAGGAATAAGAGATTATGCATGTATTTCATTGGAGTTGATATTAAAATTTAAATTTGCATTTAATCTACATTTCATGGAAAAGATTTTAGAAATTTCAGATGAATGTTGAGAGCATTACAAATAAAAGATAAAGATATGGTTAATACTATGAGATTGGTGTACATATGTAAAGCATGGCTCCAAACCACAAGGGATGATGGATGAGATTCTTTTTTTTTTTTTGGCATCGTTTGTTCGTTCTGTGAAGCTCACAAGATCAATGTTAGTATGGATGACATGTTCATAATTTTAGGTTGTTTACAATGGAGATAGCGAAAAATTTGCATCATTTTCATGTAAAAATATTTTATGCCATCGTTGATATGCAACTTCAAGAGTTGAATGATCATTTTTCTGAGGTAAAAAGTGAATTGTTCCTTTTTGTTGCATATTTGTCTTTAAATAGTTCATCTGCTGCTTTTAACAAAAGCAAAGTGATTCGACCATGTTAGTATTATTGAGTGGGTTTTGATGCGGCAAATATATCAAAATTTGATGATCAACTAAATATATATATATTCTTGATATGCGGACTTTCGAAGATTTTTAAGGATTAAAAGCCATTAGAGATCTTGCACGGAAGTTAGTTATGAAGGATATAATTTAACATAAAGTATAGCCATTAGTCTACAAGTTTGAGACATTAGCCTTAGTTCTTCCTATGGCTACTGTTGCTATCGAGAGAGCGTTTATGATGAGTTACGTTAAAAACCGTCCGCACAATCAAATCGGAGATCAATGATTGAATGATAGTTTGATTACATAAATTGAGAAAGATATATTTGACAAGATTCAAAATGATGTAATTATGGAATGTTATCAAAGTATGAGAACATGCAGAGAACAATTGTAATAAGATATTTTTTACTTTAATTTTTGCCACTTTTTTTGAAAGCTTGATTGTGACCCCCTAACTTAAAATATTTGGGTCTGTCCTTGGTCTCTTACTCTTTCACTCTGAGATTAATTAGTCAATATGTTAGTTCGCAGTAGTTTATAACCATATAGAATAATGAATGGAGGGAACGACAAACCAATATTTATTTATTGAATTTGCTAAAGTAAGCACTCAACATGTCAAAAATGACACGCAATTATATTACACTTTAAATCTTAATATAGCCATTAGATCTATAGATTTACTATCTTCTACCTTTATTTTAAATCATGAGATTTCTCATTTGATATTACGCAAGAATAAAAATTCAAATGTACAAAAGTAAAATTTTCTTTTTTTCTCCACACATGATCAGGGATAGAGTTAGGGGGAAAAAATAAAAATAAATTTCTACGGCGTTGATACATACCTTTCAGGGATATTTGCAATAACGGTCCCAAACCTTTCCTTTTTCGCAATTTTTATCTCAACCTTTACTTTGTAGCAACAGTGGTTTCAAACCTTTAGAAAATTCGTACCTGAAGGAAAAAATAACGAAATTCGTAAAAAAAAAAATCCGTTAGTTGACCCAAAAATAATAATAAAAAAAAAATTAGATTTTTGGACCAATCTAAATGAGGACAATGTCATCACTTCACAATCTCCCCCTTTAAATTTCAAATGCGTCCTTTGTACCTTTTCATTTGCATCTATTTCATGTTACAAGAGTAGACCATCATCTTCTACAATGACTTACGAAAAAACCCATGTTTCTTATGAGAATCCATAAGATTTTGATTGTCATCTATGAGAAGCTCTTCTCAAACCCGTGTACGGTGTGTAAATTTTTTGAAATTTCTTGTCATTGTTAAGTTGTTAACAAGTGGTTTATGTAGTGTCCACCTTTAGTGCGAACCTCCCTGTTTTTAGTATTTTTGCATAAAATGTGCAATTGTTGTTGGTTTTACATATGCATCGACATAAATGAAATAAGATTTTAGCTTGATGGTTATTTGTTTTGAATTTTGTTTTTCACTGGGGCTATACCACGACGGGATATTGTTCGTAAATATGTGAAATTTTGTGTACGAGCATGGTAATATAACTCATCTAAAGTAAATGTACCCTGATATCTTTCATATATTTTTTCTAAACAATGCAATGAAGATGTAGGAGAATTTTTAGAAAATGAGGTATCTTTATGAGCTTGAAAAGAAGAAATTGTGTAAGACATCGTTTTGGTTGATAGCTGATGCAAATTTTATGAATTAAGTGAAGTTATTTTGTGAAAAAAGGATTGTTGAGTTGCATTGTTTGGTTATAGTTAAAGTGTTGGAATTGTCATGGGTTGACAAACTAGGTCATGAGATTTCTGTTGTTGATGTGGACAGGTGGATAAAAATGTGAACTAGTATGTAAAAATAACATTGACAAAGAAGTTGAGCAGAAAACACGCTATGTTGTAAGGTTTTTGATAAGTTCCTAGCTCGCGAGAAAGCTCGTCAGTGAAAATTGAAAAAAGTCTCGATTTCGAGAAAGGTATCTCTAGGCTAGAGACCTATTCTTCTCCATACACTTATGGATAGGCCCTAACCAGTACAATTAGGCTGAGTTGCTTGATGAACTGATCACAACACATATCGAAAAAGTATAGGGTGATGACTTGTATGTTGTTGATGAAGTTAAGAGTAAAAGTGAAAATGATAAAACAGAAGTAGATGTTGAGTGTGGTTATTATGGGAGAGTAGAGGCTGCATCCTAGTTGATGTAGATGAAACAGGGAGCAACTTCTGGGGCTACAAAGCCATGTTTTCGTTGCCCTAGGCTTATCATTATTTCATTTCATTCTATTGATTGATTTGAGCTCCAAGAACATATACATGGAGCTATGTCGACTTATATATGTCTCGTTGACTAAACGATCAGGTACACCATTCCATGTATCATCCCTTCTTTCTGTAGAGGACAGATAAAGAAAAAGAAAAGATAAAGTATACATGTTGCTGATGAACATTAGGCTGAAGTATGTGAGGCTCAAACTCCTATTGGTAAGCCAAGTAGTAAAGAACGTGTGGGGAGTGAAGTAAATGATGATCATATTGGTAAAATTCATGTTGGTAAAGTACGTATAGATGAAGTTCACACTGATGAAGTACTTGTGGTTGAAAAAGATGTACAAGTAGAGGCTGAAACAACTACAGAATAAGAGGAAATAAAAGTGGATGATGTGCCTTTTGTTGATAAAATAGGTGTGTAGGTGGATGATGCACTTCCTGCTACTGAAGTAGGCCAACAAATGTAGGATGCAAACCCTGTTGGTAAACCAAGTCAACAGGTGGATGATGCACCATCTGCTGATAAATCAGGTCAGTAGGTGGAGGATAAACCATATGCTAATGCAACAGACGTGCACGTTGGGACTGCAGACCAAACTGGGGATTTTGATAATAAATATGATCTAATGGAGGAGGTTAGTGATTTAGAATATAAGTAGGAAGAAAGTGTGCTTATAGATGATTACGATGATGATATATTTGTCAAGTTGATTAGGATTTTGATCTTGGTGATGAATGTGAGGACAGAATAAGGGGGTCATGCTACTGGTGAAGAACATGTTGGAATAGACTATGATGACTTTGATGATATTAGAAGGAATGAAGGAAAAGGATTATGGGTTAAATGTCAGGATAACTGTCCATGGGAGTTATATGCCTATAAATAACCGGATAAAAGTTTTGAGATTAGCACAAGCAGAGATAAATATACATGCACCATGGTTTGGAATAGTAGAGGAGTTCATGCTGGATACTTAGTAAAAAAAAAAAAATACATTCATAAGTTTATGTCTAATCCTAAAATGTCAATGAACAGTTTTGTGAAAATTGTTAAAGAAGATTGCATGTGAAAATATCATAGCATCGTTTTTATAGGACAAGAGATAAATGTGTAGAAGTTGTTAATAGAACTGTAGATGAATATTATGAGAACTTATGGGACTATTGTACGGTGTTGAAGATAACTAATCCTAACAGTATAGTGCAAATTGAAGGTGAGGGACCTACATTCAAAAGACTGTACATATATTTAGGGGCTTGTTAGAAAGTTTCAGAGCTGAGCGCATGCTTGTGATTAGGTTAGATGAGTATTTCTTAAAGAGTATAGAAGGTAGACATTTGTTGACTATGTTGGTATTGATGGAGAGAACTGCATGTTTCCTATAGGATGGACAATTGTAGATGCTGAGAACAAACCTTATTGACAATGTTTCGAAGAACTTCTGATATTTGGCACAGAGATGTACAACCTCAGGGATTGGATGTTAATATCTGACAAATAGAAGGATTTGGTGGACTTAATAAATCTTTTTTGTGAAGGTCTTGAGCATTGGTGTTGTGTAAGGCATTTGTACAACAACTTCACTTTGTTGCATAAGGGACTCATTCTTAAGGCCCTATTCTTGGCTACAAATAGGGCAAAAACTGCGTCAAAATGGAAGAATGCAATTAATGAAAACGATGAATGAAGATGCACTCAAAAAGTTCAATGAGAAAGCAGCCTCCCAGTGAAGCTAATATAGATGTAAGATACTTGAAAGCAGAATATGTAAATAGTGAAAATTTGGGGTCAACAATGGAGATGGATTGAGATGGAGTGTAGACTTGATGAAATGTGAATTTGCAGAAAATTGAAATTTACTGAAATACCATGTCCTCATGCAATCTCTAGTATGCTACAAGAAATATAGGCATACATGATTATGTTGATGCATGCTACGACAAAGAAACTTACCTTAGGTCCTACAAGCCAATCATCCAACCAATATTAGGACTTGAGTTGTGGTCAGAACTGGAAAAACATTTTTGAAATCCACCCATGAAGAAGAAATAGCAAGTAAACCCAAAAGTTAAGGAAAAAATCTCAAGTTGATCCACTTGCAGGAGTTAAAATGGCAATGATTGGTATGAAGATGATATGTAAAAGATATTGGGGAGTCAATCCATTACAAGAGAACATGCAAAGCTATCCCACCTATAGATACAAGTTCATAACTAGTTTTACCAACAAATACACATCAATATCTACATCCAAATA